GCTTGTGCCTGCATGCACACGCACCTGACATGAGTTTAAGCCACCAGGCCTGGGACTCGAACCACAGTCTACTACATGGGAGTCTAGCGACATAGCCATTATGCTAACTGCTGGTCCTAAGCCTAACTTGGCTTTCAACAGAGCTACTCACTAAGGTTTTGATTTCAAGTGAGAGAAACATAACTCTTTCTTCCACTTGAACACTTAAAGGACATTGTAAGGTTATTAACTGGCCAAATTTCAATACTGTTATGTCTCAGAGTATAGAGAAGCCCAAAAAGAGGAAGAGATATGGGAGAATGGCTATTAGTATAATAGTCAGAGCACACATGACACTTATCAATTAAGTTATCCATCTTATATGAGTACAGTTTGTGGTTCTCCAAAAGAATTACAATACTAACATCAATAGCCCAGCTATAGTAGCACAGTGGTGACACAATGCTCTGCAATGATGGTCTCATATGGAAAATCAAAGTTTGGTTCCTGGGTCAATCTGTACATGTGGGGCATGCACACACATGTCTGTGACTCCAGCTGGCTCAGAAGGCTGGGGAGGGAAATGATGTGTGAGATTCTGTTGAAGGTGCTTCTCTCTCTCTCTCTCTCTCTCTCTCTCTCTCTCTCTCTTTGCTATGGGGCACATGTGTCCACAAGAGAGACAGAGAAAGACAGAGGGAAAGTGAGGAAGCACCCTCCAAGGGGAATGGCCACACCACAATCCTTTCACCTCCATTCTCCTCTCAGGCTTTTGGGCACTCATGCACACACATTGGACATGCTTTACAAGTGGCCGGATCTGGAACTTGAACTAAATAGTTGGCTATGTTGTGATCCAGCTGCCCTAACCATCACACTATCGACTGGCTCCTTTCTCTCCCTGTCATGCAAGAAAGAAATTATAAAAAACCATCATTCATCACAGATCACCATAACTTGTATAATAACAATTAAAAGTATGAAACATTGCAAGAATTACTAAAATGTGACACAGAAATATGAAGTGAGCATATGCTGTTGGAAAAATGGTGCCAATAGACTTGCTTCTGTGTAGTTGTCACAAACCTTCAATTTGTAAACATGAAACATCTGTGAAGTGTAATAAAGCAGAGCGCAATAAAACAAGGTATGCCTGTATTTGCCTACTTAATCAGTCTATGCTTATTTATTGAAGCATTTATGTGTAATGGTCAATATGTGATGCTCTTACTTGTATGAACATGAATACTATGCAATGAAAGCCAAGAATAAAGTTTCATATATTTGTATATATACATAATTACATATTACATGTACTTATTATTTATTAATATATACCATTTCCCTTTGTTATCATTACCATTAATGTGTGGTGGTATCTGTTTTATAGCTATAATAGTATTATTTTCATATATAACTTTTTGAATTGTTTTTTAAATAGGGTTAATCATATATTCATGTCAATGTTTGGTAAATGAATAAAAGAATGAGTGGACTAGAAAACCACATTTGGATATGTTAGCAGACTCCATATTCTGAATTATGTACTGTAAGTTGATATCTATAATGTATTACATTTGTTTTTCCTTGGACTATAGCTAAAATTCTTCTTTAAAAGTGAGATATAAAAGATATGAAAATATCACTTTCTGATGAGGAATTTCAGGTTTGTTTTTTGTTTTTTGTTTGTTTTTGCTACAGGGCATGTGCTCTTGCCAGAAAGACAGAGAAACAGAAAGCAAGAAATCACCCCCCAGGGGGGCTGGCCACACCGCAATCCCTTCTCCTCCATTCTCCTCTTGGGATCTTGGGCATGCATGCACACGTGCCCGGTGTGAGTTTAAGCCACTGGGTCCAGGACTCGAACCACAGCCAACAACATGGGAGTCCAGCAACATAGCCATTATGCTAACTGCTGGTCCCAAGGAATTTCAGTTTTTCGTAAACTATATTCTGAACATCACGCTTATAACATCACATCCACAGCTTATGGAAAATATGGTGTTCAGTGGTACAAGCATGTGCGTACATTTTAATACAAATTTTCTAAGATTACCATATATATACCAATTTTAGCAATACAATAATTAGTTATTTCTAATTTGACACATTATGGCACTTAAAAACTAATTTCACATTATGATATTTTTAGTTGGAAACCAGTGACTGACTAGAGACAAGTGTTAAGATATATATAAATAAATAAAAGTGTAGATTTGTTAAACAATCATTAAGTGGCAAATAGCAACAGTCCTTAATATCATATCTACTAGCAGGGCTTCATGATTTACTGTGAGGCTGCTTAATGAAAATAATGTATTGCAATTCTCATTTTGAAGCTTCCCTGAAAGTATGTGGTCTGGCATTACTATAAATAATCAGTGGAAAAACAGTCATAATAAAACCTATAATCTTGCTTTATAACTTGGGGGAATGAGAAAAGTGACTTAGGCTGACTGATTGACCTTATTTTCTGCCAGGACCTAGAACTGAGAAAGTGGAGCAGAAATAGGAGCAGAGAGGGGCAGAGCTGTCAAGACTGTCTAGAAATGTGTACATGTGTGTGTGGGTTTTGGGGGGCGGTGGGAAAGAGGAGTATGTGTAGTTAGGAACTCAGAAAGAGCCAGAAAATAATTGGTCTCTTGAGACCCAGGAAACATACAATGTTTGTCAAATTAAATTCATATTATGAGAAACCAGCAGGTGATATGGTAGTTAAGATGCTGGATTCCCACATGGTCGAACACAGTTCAACTCCTGGGGCCTGGTGGCTTGAAAATCATGACAGGTGCTTGTGCATGTGTGCCCAAAATCCCAGGAGAATAGAGAAGAAGGGATTGCACCATGACCATACTCCCGGCAGGGGGAGGGAGGGGTTGACTTTTTCACTTTCCCTCTCTCTGCCTCTCTCTATTTCTCTCTAGTAAGTACATGTGCTCTATAGCAAATTAATAATTAATTTATTATAAAAAACTGTTTACTAAAAAGGTCAGAAATAAAACACAAGCAGTTTATTTAGAATCCAATAAAAAACAAGCATGACCATAGCATATGTAATTTCAAAAATTTATATTAGCATGATATTTTTATTTGTAAATTAAAATCTAAGGTGAGATGTGTGAGAAAATTCTATGTTTAAATTTTAAGAATTTGAAAACTTATTAATAATTCAAATGAGTGAATACCACTAGTATCCCAAAATGATAGCTGAAAAATACTCTAATAGCAATAGGTTTCATGGCTTTCTGAATGTACTTACTTCTGATTTGTTAACATCCAGGACAAAATGTTCAGGATTACTGTTCACTATTTGCAATTCTAAAGTTTCATGGGTTGGATTAGCTAAGGAAATTATCTGAGTGTCATGCCTAGGAGGAAAAACAAAGGGAGTAAAGTTGCTGGTATTCATAAACTTGTTCAATTATAACTCCATGAACTTGATAACCAAGAAAATAGTTGGTATTTGTGCTCAAAGCATAAAATAATAAAGAGGGTTCATAATTTTCAATTAACCATCATTTCCTTTTTTAGAGAAAGGGATTTTTGCTATAAGGCACATGCATTGACCAGAGAGACAAAGAGAGACAGAAAGTGAGAAATCACCCCCCAGGGGGATGGGCAAGACCCAATCCCTTCTCCTCCATTCTCAATTAAAAATAAAATGAATGAAAAATAAAACAGAAAAAGGGTCAAACTACCAAAACAAAGAAACAAAACCCAATTCCTTTGCTTCTAGATAAGCCACAAACACAGACAATTAATTTATGCACCGAATCTCTGAGTAGCATTAGGCGGTCTGGATATGTACCTGTAACCATTCCTTAGCCTCTTCCCTTCCCTTATTCTGTTTCTTCTATTTGCCTGCTGACTTCTCTGGGATCACTTCCTTACTAAATCAATTATAGTGATGTTTTGGCTCAAGATCTGCTACTGTAAGAATGCAACACTCTTTGGGACCAGCAGATGGCCTAATGGTTATGTCACTGGATTCCCACATGGTGGACAGTGGTTTAAGCCCCAGACCCAGTGGCTTGATACTCACACCAGGTCATGTGTGTGTGTGCCCAAAATCCAGAGGGGAATGGAGGAGAATGGATTGTAGCATGACCATCCCCCCCCCCCGAGGGATGAGTTCTCACTTTCTATCTCTCTGTCTCTCCAGTGAGCACACTCATCCTATAACTATAATCGCTCTCTCTCAAAAAAAGAATTCAACACTCTTTTGTTGTGTAAATGGAAAAAATGACAAGAGGTATTAGAGTAGTATACTCTTTAAAAAGTAGGCATTGTGACTTTTTTACTCCACAAACCAGCCAGACAAGATACAGGAATCCAATCACCTAAGTACAAATGCTCATATCTTAAGAAAATATGTTATTGACCACATAACCAAGTGTTCGCCATGGTCTGTTGCTTACCCTTTGCCGTGACAAAACTTTTGTCAAGCTTCTCCTTCTCCTACCAGTCTCTGAATTCTGGTTGTCCCCAAACCTAAGCAAGCACACAACCAGAAACATGAAGTAATACATCCCTTCTCTGGTTTTCTGGGCATCTTCTGGGAATCATTTGACCTCAGTGATAATCTTTTCTTTTTATTTTTTTCTTTTCTTTTCTTTCTTTTCTTTTCTCTTCTCTTTTCTTTTTCTTTCTTCTCTTCTCTTTCTTTTCTTTTCTTTTTAAAAGGTTTATGCCTTAGGGTGCATGTGTTTGCCAGAAAGAGAGAGAGGGACAGGGACGCTGAAATTATCCCCCTGGGGGAGTGGTGTCCACACCACAATCCCTTCTCCTCCATTATCCTCCTGGGATCTTGGGCACACACACCCAACATGCATTTCAAGCAACTGGTCCAGGATTGGAACTGTGGTTGGCCATGTGGAAGTCCAGCAACATGACTGTTATGCCATCTGCCAGCCCCAAGAACCTTTTCTTGTTAGACCCCATTAATCCATTTTCCTTGTTTATCTAGCTTTCTCTCCAAAAATTGTTTATATCTGCTTGTCTCTCCTTTACTTTATAAAAGGAAAACCTTTTGCAGTTTGATTTTGTGACCCTTGCAGATTCCACAAGATGGAAGTGTTCCCCTTGTTGCAATAGCCCTTTTCCCTCCCTTGCAAATAATCCTCTTGAATAAAAGTCTTTCCTTATTAAGTCCTGATTTTTCTTTGATAAATTTTCTGCAGGATAATTTACATATTCCTTGGAAAATAAAATCAGTTACTAAAAATGTATTTATTTCTCTTTCTCTTCTCTTTTCTTTTTCTTTCTTCTCTTCTCTTTCTTTTCTTTTCTTTTTAAAAGGTTTATGCCTTAGGGTGCATGTGTTTGCCAGAAAGAGAGAGAGGGACAGGGACGCTGAAATTATCCCCCTGGGGGAGTGGTGTCCACACCACAATCCCTTCTCCTCCATTATCCTCCTGGGATCTTGGGCACACACACCCAACATGCATTTCAAGCAACTGGTCCAGGATTGGAACTGTGGTTGGCCATGTGGAAGTCCAGCAACATGACTGTTATGCCATCTGCCAGCCCCAAGAACCTTTTCTTGTTAGACCCCATTAATCCATTTTCCTTGTTTATCTAGCTTTCTCTCCAAAAATTGTTTATATCTGCTTGTCTCTCCTTTACTTTATAAAAGGAAAACCTTTTGCAGTTTGATTTTGTGACCCTTGCAGATTCCACAAGATGGAAGTGTTCCCCTTGTTGCAATAGCCCTTTTCCCTCCCTTGCAAATAATCCTCTTGAATAAAAGTCTTTCCTTATTAAGTCCTGATTTTTCTTTGATAAATTTTCTGCAGGATAATTTAAATATTCCTTGGAAAATAAAATCAGTTACTAGAAATGTATTTATTTCTCTTTTAAAAGACTAAATGCATTATAACAATACCATTATTGATTAGCATTTTGTTTCATGCATGAAACAGTTGTATCTATTAAACAGTACTTACTTTCCAAGGTCACATTTCATATCTGGCATTATGGTTGGTTCTGGTGGTTCAGTAGTTAATTTCAGTAAATACCAAAACTCCTCACCCGTTTCAGGCTGAAAAATAATGCTGGTAGAGAGACATATATAAAATTATGTCAGTGGCTTTAGCTTTTATAATAAATTTGGCAGGAAAAAAGTCTCAAATTGGTAGATACAGTATCTCTTATGATATGCTATATTCTTATTTTCATGCTTCATATCACAGCATTTTGTTTATTTGCCAGAGAGTGTGTGTGTGCTCACTTCAAAGAGACAGAGAGAGAGAGAGAAAGAGGGAAAAAGCATCCTCCCCCACCTGCCAAATGAGGGCATGGCAACACCACAATCCTTTCTCCTCCATTTTCCCATCCAGTTGGGATTTTGGATTATGCACACATGCCTGGCATATTATTCAAACCAATGGGACTAGAATTTGAACTGCTTGGCCAGCCATGTGGATCTAGCCAGCTCATACAATTTTTATCTTTTAAAATTTCACAAGTCTGTTCATTTTTTTCATTAATCAAAATAGAAATCACTCACCTTTTACTATAAGATACTGTGTTAGAATCATCAGTAAGAGTTGTCCTGGAGGACATTATGTTAAGCAAAATAAGCCAAGCACAGAGAAGCAAGTACATGATCGTATATGTGGAATCTAAAAATTTGAACTTAGAAGAAAGAAATAAAATGGTGATTACCAGAGATTGGGATGGGGAAAGGATGGAGTTTGTGGAGATGGTAGAAGGTTGCAAAACCTCCATCACAGAGGAGGAATAAATTCAAGAGATTTATTGTAGGACATGTTGACTGTAGTTAATAACAATGTATTATATACTTGGAAAAGGCTTAGAGAGGAGTGTTTTGTTTTGTTTTGTTCACTATAGGGTGCATATGCTCACCAGAGAAGAGAGACAAAGACAGAGAGAGAAAGTGAAAAAGCAACACTCAAAGGGGATGGCCATGCCATAATCCCTTCTCTTCCATTCTCCTCTCGAGATTTTGGGCATGCATGAACACATACTCAGCATGTTTTTCAAGCCGCCAGGTCAGAGACTTGAACCTCGGAGTCGGCCATGTGGGATCCAGTTGCCTTAACCACTGTGCCACTGGTTGGCCCAGGAGAGGAGATTTTAAGTGTTCTTACCACAAATATTATAACTCATAATTATGTGAGATAATACATATGTTCATTTGCTTGATTTAGCCATTTCACAATGTATATATATTTCAAACCATGTACACAATAAATATATACAATTTTTGTCAATTAAAACTAATAAATTCAAAAATTATCCTAATTTTGTAATAGCATACAAACTATCAAAGGGCATTTTCATGGTGTATAAGAATGGAATGCATTGTATACATAAATACCAAGTCAATTATACTCTTTAAAAATATAATAAATGAATTGGATAGTACTTTCACAACAAAGTTAAGTATTTTATATAAATTATTGAGTTAATGACAAACACAAAGGGCATGTTTGTGTGTGCATGTATGTGAATATATAGTGCAATTTTTTTCATAATTATCACTATTTATGAACTATTGTCACAGCACTATTAATATTTCCTAATATCGTCAACCATGTTGGATCTAGCTTGGATCCGGTGTGTGTGCTTTCAGCATAGTATATCATCCTTAATTATTTTTCTCTATGTCCTCTAAATGAATTATTTTAATTAAATGAAAACAAAAAATACCTATAAATTAATTTTCGTTAAGGAGATTGAAAGATTAACTCCTCGTCCTCATGGAATTATTTACTTTGGTTCAGTTTTGCACCCAGAAAGATCTGGTTAGTAAAAAAGTAAAGTGAAAAAGGGGGTGAAAAGAGCATTTTGAAGTTAATTAATTTGATATTTTAATAAATTTGGTTTGTTTTTACTTAAAAGTTTATCTAAATTAGTACATTTTCTCAGGAAATAGTATTGAATAAAGCTAAAACTATGAGCAAGTATAATTTTAGTAATTAGAACATATGAAGAGAAAATTTGAAAACTTTAATTTCAAAGGGTCAACAATGAACTGTAATGCTGCACTCAAACCATACCTTTCATCTTTATAGCCTGCAGATGCTGGAGAAAATCGTAAAACATAGTTGATGGATTCTTGTGGACTCATTTTAAGTTCCTTGAGTCCACTTAGGGCAGGACTTGTTAATTGCACATGTATGCGAACATTTCTGTCTCTTGGATTAAAAATAGGAATTTCTAGGCAAATGGATTCCTAGATTACAGAACAAATATAAAATCTTCTTTTAGTGTCAACACACCATGAAAACAAATATAAAGAAAGTGATAAAACAAAGCCATTTGTTTTATTTTTTTCCCCTTCATCCACTATCGAGTGCATTTTATCAGCTTTTTAATCTCATATTTTCTTTCATTTGTTTTGGTAAATGATAACATTTTTTTCAACAGCAAATACTATAAAGAGATCCATGTAACTAAATGTTAAGAAAACTACTTGTAAAATTACATTTCAAGTATTTTTTCATAACCACCATTTTACAGTGAAGTCAATTTTTCAGGTTTATGCTAGTGGTGGTACTTAAACTTCAGCACACCATCATAATCACCTGAAAAGGCTACTAACACACAATTTCTGTCCCCTACCCCAAATATGCCCCTGAGATTTTGATTTAGTCAATCTGGGATGGGTCTAAAGTTCACATTTCTAAAAAGTAACATACTGCTTCTGCTGTTACTACTCTCCACTTTAAGTAGCACTGTATGTTAGCATTGAGTAGTAGGAATAAAGAAGTCAAATTATGCTGTTGATACATCCACCTTCCTGCTGTAATTTTTTCTTTCTGTTCTTGTTTCTCCTATCCTGTCCTCCTAAGTTATATACCCATTCAGCCCTGGAAGGCACTCTTTTTTTTTTTTGGAGAGGTTTTCGCTATAGGGCACATGCGCTCGCCAGACAGACAGAGAGAGACATAGAGACAGACAGAGAGAGACATAGAGACAGAAAGCGAGAAATCACCCCCCGGGGGGATGATCACGCCGCAGTCCCTTCTCCTCCATTCTCCTCTCGGGATCTTGGGCACGCACGCACACACGCCCGGCGTGAGTTTTAAGCCACTGGGTCCAGGACGCGAACCGCGGTCGACTACGTGGGAGTCCAGTGACATAGCCATTACACTAACTGCTGGTTCCCTGGAAGGCACTCAAGTTTCAAGATATTTCTGGATTCTTCTTGTAATCCATTTTGGCTAATGACTTCTATTCTATATATACCATTACAGCTATCATCACCACATCAAAAGCCACTCATTGAAGCAAATGTAGTAAAGGTAATTATATTTCAATTTTAATAAAGATCATTTGCCTATAAAGCCTTAACCTAAAGAAACAAAGAATGTTGGACATTGCAGTCATAAATTAAAGCTTGGCAATAGATGTACTTTATAACATGGAGCTGTTTCAAAATTTATCAGATCACACTACAGGGGCACAAAAACACTTTGATACTGAACTGGTGGGGGTTATCTTCAAGACAGATGTTATAGCTTTGTCCAAAGTTATCTCAGAAGCTCTAGTTCAGAGAACATTTATTTGATCACCTCTATAATAAATCAATGAGTGGAGAGATGCTACATTTTAGGGATATAGAAATAGTATTTAGAGTGGTGACAAAAATCTGCTGAGGAAAGATGGTAAAACACATATACTAGTTTGCAATTAGGTTAGAGCAGATATCATTTGGTAGAAATCAGTTTAAATAATAAATGCACTGGAAAATAGCCATCTATAATAGTTTTTGTGATGTTTTCCAGTATTTCCTATTACCTTTTATCCTAGTCTACTTTTTAAAAAACGATGCTAGTTTTGACCCACTCACAGGTTGAGACCTACACATTGAAACATTCTGATCTAATGAGGTAAAAAAACTGGAATACGTAACTATTTTAGGTTTTATCATTACACATAAGACTTAAACACAAAAATAAAACAAAATAGCTTTTTTTAGAGGTTTTTGCCTGAGAGTGCATGTGCTCGTCAGAGAGAGAGATGGAGACAGTGAGAGGGAAAGTAAGAAATCACCCACCCTAGAGGATAGTCCTGTCACAATCCTTTCTTATCCATTCTCCTTCTGGAATCTTGGGCAAGTACACACATGTGATTTTCAAGCCATCGGGTCTAGGAATTGAACCATGGTTGGCCAGGTGGGAGTCCAGCAACAAAACCACTACACCATCGGCTGGCCCCTCAAAACAAAATCACTTTAAACTTAAACTGTTTTTATTGTAAACTATAACCCAACAGGAGCATGGCCTCATGTCACAAAGGTGTTAATAACATTCTACAATTGTGAAGAGCAGGAAATGGGGGTGACAGCTATGGGGCACTTAAGTCATAGCCCCTCTTTAGCATCCTTGCCACATCCGTGGCAAATATTACTAAATGAGCACTTCACTCTCATCCTATAGGTCTGGGCACATCGGCAAAATCCTTCACAGAGCAGCCTTCCAGACAGTGGTTGTTGAATGCTTAGAGCTACAGATACTGCAATCTTTTGAGGATCCCTGGCATCTAATACTCTGGATTCTCACAAACATCAAAACTCAATAGAAATCAATAAATCAATGTTTCCTTATAGTCAAAAGCTTTTTTTCCAATTAACGATGCTATATTTTTGGTATAGTAGAAAGTATCTCAAATTTAACCACAATATTATAAAAATAATTTCTAAATTTCACTATAATGTGGGTATTATTTTCTTCCAAGTTTAAACAGATACAAATATCTAAATGTCAACATTAAAATATGGTATTACATAAAATTTTCTATTTTACTATTACCTGCCAGAACATTGTCAAAATAATTAGGAAAGATTAATTTCCTAACTATTGATATTTCTTAAGACTATAAAATTAGGGGTTTTTTTTGTCGAGGTTTTTGCCTTAGGGTGTGTGT